AAGCCTGCGGCGGCCGAGCCAGCCGTCGGGTGGGGGGGGCCGGCGCTTTCCCGGCCGCCTCTCCCGCACCTGCGCCTCCTTTGTCCTCCCGACCGACCCCGCTGCCCTTCCCCCTGGGGCCACGCCCAGGGCCCCTCGGCTGAACCAGCGGGGGGTGGGGGGCGGTAAATAGGGAGTTTCTCCGCCGGTGGCTCTTGTCGAGCTAGGGCGTAACCCAAGCAAATAACGAGGCCTCACAGGGGCATTTCCAAACCTAAGGCCTAGTGGAGAGGATGTCAAGAGGCCCATTTCACAGACGCGGAAACTGAGGCTGGGAGCCCATCACGCTGGCCGAGCCTCACAGCTACACTTCCAGACTGGACCTGTGGTGTAAGAACCCCGCTCCCTTCCCAGTCGCCGGGGACTTCCCGGGCCGTAGGACTCCCCCTGACTCAGTTAATAACGGGGGGGGGATAGGCTGCTTTTCTAGGCTCCCAAGGTCTGGTCCTCACCTCCTCTTGGAGCGCAGCAGCCCCTCAGGCGTCTAAGCTCAAAGCCCTCTTCTCCCCCTTATCAGGAAATCTAGAGGGAGCCCCCTGATTTGGGGGTGTAGCAGGATTTGAGCGCCAGCCGGAAATGCTGGGGCAAGGAGGCCCAGCCCGGTCCCGCCCACGTGGCCACCGGTCAGACCGGTTCCTGGGGCCCCAGCCAGCCGCCGCCGGCACCCGACCCTTTAACCCCGCCCTTCCCCCCACCAGGAGAAAACCAGACAGACAGCGCCGACTTTTTGCTCAGACGGTCTTTATTTTTCTATCTGACATTTCTTGCAAAACGCCAGGTAAATGGAGTGACACAGAATCCACCACAAGAAAAGTAGACAGACCCTCAAACTCCCTGGCAAGAATTTTCCCCCTCCCCAAACTGGCCCAGCCTCGCGGTGAACGCCCCCCTCCACTCCTCCCCGTTTTCCTGATTCAGACCAGGAATGTCTGGGTTTCGTCCCGTGTGTCTGAGGGAGGGTCTCGCTGGATCTGGGGACATACTGGCCACCTCGATGGCACCAGATGACAAGAACTGGAACCAGAGAACTAGAACAAGAACTGGAACCAGAGGTCCGGTCAGCCCGGCGCCCACCCGCAGGCGCAGGGGCGCGCGGGGCACGCCCCAGCCGCACGTGGGGGCGAAGTGACTCAGGCCACTCTCCTCCCACGCTCCCCGGGGCGGGCCCACACCCA